CTTCAACCCATCAAGTATTTTTGACTAGCACAGACGTGATGGGTTGAAGATCCTTTCTCAATGCTGTAGACCTCGATGAACAAAGTCAATGGTTTTGCTTTGAATAAAGCATTCATCTTTGAACTTCAGAAGACATTAACTCCTATTAGAATATCAAAATTATGTGCTGCCCAGTATAGGTCCATTACTGTAGCATAAAGGAGGCATGGATGTGTTCAATGAGAAACTAAGACTGAAGCAATTGTCAATTGGCACAAAATGGGAATATAAGGTGCAACATCTACTAAGTCTATCTATGCTCTTAAACTCAAAGAAATGCTAGGAGCTGATCTCTGAACATCAGTTACTCCCACAAAACCAACCATAATGTCACTAACTTCAACATTAAAGCCTCCTACCTTTTCTTCAAAACTTTGCTTTTCCTTTGTAGCTTCTTCCAATTGACCTTGTAGCTCCTGTATCTGCGCAATGTCATTGGATGACTATTCACAGAGAGTGAAAGGACATAAAATTTGATAAGTTGAACAAAAATTAATATTGACAACAAATAAAGTTTCTTTTAATATGTATGAAACTGCAACAACTCTCCTGAAAAAAACTGCTGATCAGTGGAAAGGTTTTCAGTGGAAGAAGCCAGCACGCAGAGAGACCTGGACAATATTCAAGCTTGGGCTAATGAGTACCAAGTAACATTTGCAACACACAAGTGCTCAGCAATGACGATCTGAACAAGAATCTAACCATCACCTCTTAACATTCAATGATATTACCATCACTGAATCCCCCAAGGACCAACAACCACAGGAAGGAGGGTTTGAGCTGAAACTGAGATAGGCCGGCTATATAAATGCCACGGCTACAAGAGCAGATTGGAAGCTGGAAATTCTGTGGTGAGTAAGTCACCATCTGACTCTCCAAAGCCTCCCACAGTCTAAAAGGCACAAGCCAAGACTATGATAGAATGTTTTGCACTTGCTTGGATGAGTGCAGCTCTAGTAACTCAGGAAGATTGAAAGCTACAGGACAAAATAACCCATTTGATCAGCATCTCACCCACTTCCTTAATCATTAATTCCCTCTACCACCAGCACACGGTGGCAATGTCTACAACATCTGCATGTGGGTCCCATCTACAAAATGTACAACATCAACATTCCAAGACTCTTTCTGTAGCACCTTCAAAGCTCATAACCACTAAGAAGGATGAAGGCTGGAGATACGTAGGAACAATACCATAAGAAATATCCTCTGAGAGTCAAAAGCCATCCCAATTTGGAAACATTCTTTGACTGTCACAAGTCTCAAAAACCTGGAACCTGCTTCTTATCAGCACTGTATGTGAACATACACTTCAGCCACAGTGAACCAATGAAGATGGTTCATCGCAACGAGGATTATTAGGGATATGCAACAAATATTGTCCTTGCCAGCGACACTCAAATCCCCTTAACTAACATTTTCTAAAAGGGGTGGTTGTTTGAAGACCAGTCTTTCCCAGATGAAGCTCCTATCTTTCTGATTACCCCCACTTTTTCTCCTTTAGTTTGAAGCAAATGTTTACAGGTTGCCTCAGTTCTTTTTTTCTAATATTCTAATATTCTTGTGAAGCACCTTGAGTTTTGTTCTAGAAATACTAAGCTGACACACATTGTTGTCATTGCCCGAGACTATATTGAAGAATGAGGGTCAATACCCCTTGAACAAAACCTGTGAAACCCACAGAATGTTACCATTTAGAAGCACATGAGCAACAGATGCATGAGGACACCATCATTATATTATTCCCCTCCAATTCACATGACACGCAGCCTTAAGCATGCAATCGTATTCCTTCTCTCTCATTGAGTCATACATCTGTAGCACCCTGCCAAACAGCATTGTGGGTGCATCTACACCACACAGACTGCAGTAGTTCTCGAAGGCAGCACTCCACAAATGCTGACCTTGTCAATGACATCCGAATCCCTTAAAGGGTAATTTTAAAAAATGCAGGAGTTGCAGTGTTGAACGGAATGATGGATTTTGTATAATGTCCGAAGGAATCCCAACTGCTTGAGTCAGCTGATTTTATTGTGTGATGATGCATTTCTGTTTGTGTCTTCGCTCAGACCTGGACTCTCATCCTCACTCAACAAGAACAGGCACCTTCTGCAAATCAGTACAACACTTTCACAATTGCCCTCAATCATAATTACAAGCCCTAAACTCGACAAACTCAGAAGAAATGCAGAAATAAAGCAGTCCTGGGCATGCAAATGCCACAAACAGAAATATTTTTACCATTTTTGCTCTGTAAAATAACCTTTCCTCCCTATTGCTAGGCAATTGAATTTACAATAATTTAGAAAGGAACAAGATTAAGATTGTGGTTTTGTGAGTGCTCGTGACTGATTTTTAAACATCGAAGAGTTTTAATATCCCTGTCAATCAATATCATAAAATCACACATTAATAGATCAAATAATAAGCGACAAATCATTTTTGCATTTTTAGGACAGAAGTGTTTGCAGCAGTGTTTCTATGTTTTCAGAATGTGCACCAGATGAAGAAGCATGAAATCTGCTGACTGAGCTGACGCTGAGGATATATTGAAAGAAATAGGACAACAATCTAGACTTGATGTAATTACAATGAAGCAAAGCACAGAAAGCCAATCTGTTCACCACGATTATTATTCAACATAAGCAGGAGGCTGCAAGCAGAAATCGACAATGTCGTCTGTTTACCTGAGCTATCAGGTCCTTATGTTTCTTCATGAGTCCATTCAGATCCTCCTGGTCCTCTTCGAGGCGTTTCAGCAGATCAGCCTTTTCATGCTCCAATTGGTATAACTGCTCATCGACCTACCATCAAACAGTCATATATCTCAGTGAAGCATGGACTAACTCATATTTAGCATCTTTCTCCATCATTGTGCTCCCACCGTATTAGATACCAAATGTAGACTATTCAAGGTTTTTCCTCAAATTTGACAAATTTGTGCATTTTTCTTTCTGCTATTTCAGCAACTTCAGGAATCAAACATCTGGAAACTGGGTGACTGACAATTCTCTGCACTTGATCCACATAGTTGTTAGCTTCTACAGACTGACCTGGCCAAGGTTTCAAACAATGTCTCCCCTTGCTATCCTACAACAATTCACAATTGTCTGTTTGGAAGCTGGAAAGGGCTCCAAATTCCAATGTTCACTCCAAAACTGTACAACCTGAGGCTGCATGGTATAATTGATAGGAAATTAACAGCACCTACGCTGAGAGAGAGGTGGCCTATTTGTTAATTTACACAAACATATGGTTGTATTTTGTCCATCAAAGTTTGAGTCCTCTTTAACCAGTAACACCAAATACTGTCCATTTGAACAGGTTGTTCGTTCATTGTTTATGGGCCGAAGGTCTTTCCTGTACTGTATGATTCTATGTCTTGCCCTCCACAACTTGGGTGCCATGGCAACCTGCAAACAGCAGTGGCTGTGCTTCAAAAGGTATTTAGTTGGTTGTGAAACATTTCGAAAAATCTCGAGGATCTGTAAGGCAATATATAAATATGAGCACTTTGTAAGAAATATAAGCAGAGAGACTAATTTTGAAGTATGACCTATTGTTGCTCATGCAATTGTGTAAATTGTTACATAATTGTACAATTATGACTGTATATAAACGCTATATAACTGCAGAAATGCTCAGTAAATCATTTCCATTTAGCAATGTGTTTGCTGGATCCCTTATTTCATAAACATTTCTAATCCAGAAAGCAGAGGAAAAGAAATCATATTAATAATCTAAGCATCAGTAATCTGTTAAAGAAATGCATAAAACCATTTGCAATGAATGTCAAAAGCATATGTCCATCTGCTAACTGGATGATCGTTCCTTTAAATGGTTCCCTTTAAATAGAAACTTTAACCCAAGGTTTAGATTGCTGCCTGTTTATATAGGACGAAAGCACGGTCGGGTAGGGATTTTGCCCAAAGGTCTGCTCACCGACTAAATGCCCTCATCAGTGTGTTGGGCACACATGGTTAGACTCCCACTCAAAATACATAGAGTCCATAAGGAAATTGTAGCAGGTGCTGATGGATAGATGACGTCATCAACAAGGTCGGGTCACCTGGAATTGTGACCCAAGGAAAGAAAGCACCAGTAAAATCCCAAGAAGAGGCTTCGCAGTGGGGTTATAACTCACTCAGAGATAGTAAGAACTACCGATGCTGGAGTCAGAGGTAACACAGTGTGGAGCTGGAAGAACACAGCGAGCCAGGCAGCATCAGAGGAGCAGGAAAGCTGATGTTTCCGGTCGGGACCCTTCTTCAGAAATGGGGGGGTGTGGGGGAAGGGAGCTCTGAAATAAATAGAGAGAGGAGGGATGGGGCTGGGGAAGATAGGTGGGATGGTGATAGGTGAGTGCAGGTAGGGAGTGGTGGGGATTCTTCAATATGTGGCCAAGCAGTTTCAGGGTAAAGAGATTACCAGAGGTTTGCATTGGGAGAGAGATCTCTCATTGAGAAAGAGAGAGACCAGAAGGGTCCCGACCTGAAACTTCAGCTTTCCTGTTCCTCTGATGCAGTCTGGCCTGCTGTGTTCCTCCAGCTCCACATTGTGTTATCAGTGAAATCCTACTCAGCCTTATTGCTCCTTATACAATATAATGGTTCTTCATTCTACTAGTTTGAATCAGTTCTCACCCATCTACTGTTTCCAGAACCTGCTTCTTACATGGTGGCAATGGTTGGATTTGAACCTGGAGCCTCAAGTGGTCTTCTGCTGGATTAGTGGAAATATTGATGAAGTGCATGCCAACCATTTTTTGAGGTCTCACATTTCAGAGCTTGGTTAGAAGTGCCACCAGATAGGAAAAGCCCTCATTCATATCTTATGCCTATCATTGGCAGCTACCCTATAAGCAGACTATGTACCAAATCAATCAGGCATTTCACTTTGAAAATGATAGCTTTTAACTGAATGACATTACTGCATCAAGTAAACTCAAGGTTTATTTATTGAATAATTATTTGGTACTACAGAAGTTTTGCTGAAAAAAGACGCATCTTGTTGAAGCTTTTCATCTTTCTTCATTTGGACAATTTGCCAGAAATACTAATAGAAAGGGAAATTACATCATATACAGTATAGGTTCATTTCTAGCTCATCTCTTGAGGATAATGCGTTGATAAATCAGAGTCAACTGGCTTGATTAAAACAATGCTTGGTAGTTAACTATCAGTCACCAAATAACTGGCGCTTTCTCCATGGTAATGCCAGTACAGAGTCCATTTGCCAACCAATCACTTCTTTCACAAAAACGTCTTATTCAGTAAAACAATTTGTTCTCCCTTCATGCTGATATTTGTGTGAATTGTCCTGATGAGTGCAAGGTGAAAAGCTTTGCCAAAATGTGTTTTTTTTTCAGTATAATAGTTATAGCATAATTTTTAAGAAATTATCAGAGTTTTTTTTTGCTGTACAATGAGACACAGGAGCACCTTACAGATTTATTATAGTATTACCTCTCTCACGTTTTTCAAGGGCCATCTCACATGGTTTCTAAGCCTAGCTGACTATCACTTTGGCTGTTGTGGTCCTCCTGCAATCTTCATCCTTGTTCTTCCAGACAGGATAATTAAGACTGGCACGCTGCTCTATATCTTGTTAATTGGTGCAATGCCAAACAGCTTGATGGGCAAAGCCATGACTGAAGCAATGGAACATGTATATAGCACCGCTCACTGGGGTAGCATGGCTGGAAATCCAGCCCCACTATTCACAGAGTCATCAATAAATGTAAAGTTTTTAGTAATGTACTCAAAATTCCCCAATTTATGTGACTTTCAGACTCAGGTTAACAGAAAGCATGGACTAAATTTCTGTAACTAACAAGAATTACTATTTATTAAAAAGAAATAGATTCTAGCTGCAGGTAACTATGAACTGTCACATATAACTCCACTAGTTAAAACTCTAGACCCCGTTGTAAACTCCCTTACACATACTTGCAAACGGATACAAAACTTTGATGTTATGGATGGAAGGGAAAACTGGAAAGGGAATGGCTCCTGAGCACAGGGTTTGTTGAGATGATCCTTTCTGCTTGCCAGACAGTGCTGTTCCTCCATCTCTTTCCAGGTTATTTCACTTGCTTACAGGAGGCAACAAGTGAATGGTTTACAACTTAATTGAATTATTGAATTCTCTGAATTATTGGTTTAAAAAAAACAGCTCACAGCAACCAGTGAGGGAAAGCAAAGTGGTTTCTGCAGGCTTTAGGTGTTTGTTCACAGCAGACCTCCTTTCTGGAGGTCTGAAAGCTTCTGATTATATTATTCACATTCACAAGCTATTCACGTAGCTGGGAGCCAATCACATAGCTGCTGGTAGGCAGAAGACCTTTATCGTCAACAACTGATCACCACTCTAAAGAGTGACCATTGAGCTTGCCAGCTCAATTTCACTTCATTCATACCCCTTGGTGCCAGTTTATCTGCAACTGAACTTCTCCACTGGCTGAACAAACTATAGTGTAAACACCACTTACAATCAGCATTAGTAACTTGCTTTTAAAAAGAGCTGCACAACACTTGGTTTTATAACAGTCCTTTTCCCATTCTAGTCCACAAACAAACATGCAGAAAAATAAAAAGATACGGGGCTGAAGCTTACAGTTTTGGGGAAAGTTGGTGAAGTGATTCTTGCTGGGAGTCAAAGTGAGGTTTCTTGTCATATTTTTGTCAACTCACCACATTAATTGGCATTTCTCCCTGTGGCAAGACTCATGTCCAATTTACAACCCCCACCTTTACCAAACACCGTTCCCAGCAGAGGTCCTCCCTAAGACCAGCATCCCTTGCGGCTGCACCATCTTCCAAAGCCCACTGTGCACCTGCAGGAGTGCTGCCATCTGGAAGCTGTGCTGCTCGGCTGTGGAAGGAGTGAGGAGCGATGGCAGAGAAAGAGAGGCTGGCTCCATGATTCTCTGAGAGGGACCTTGACATTTTTGTGGATGGGGTGCTGGAGGACCAACAGAGGAGCCCTATCATCATCATACCTTGCTAGCATGGTTGGAGACTATCACCCGTGTCAGCACCATCTCCATGGTAAGGAGCACTGGGCAGCAGTGCAGCAAGCAGATCAATGATCTTCACTCCCTCAGGGAAATCCAATGTTGCGCTCTATTTTACCCCACACTTATCTGAGCCACAGCACCCATTTCCCACTAATGCTAATGGTCTAACACCCTCTCTGTTGCATGAAACACCTTCCCTGACTCACTCACATTGTCACCCTCCCTCCCACCATTCCGTCCCTGCAACCCCTTCATGCTGCCTCCTCACACCTCTTTCTCTTTCCCCACATGCACAGCCTTAATGCTACTCACTTGTGTATTACTCATTCGCTCCCGCTATGTCATTACAGGAGACGACATCCCAACACACGGAAGAGCAACTTCAGATGAGTGATGGGATCAGTGCCTGATATCTGTGCCCTCACCCCTCCCAGGTAAAGACAGGGACCATTCCCTGCAGGGATTCGGAGACATCTGAATGGTGGCACGGCGACTCAATGGTTAGCACTGCTACCTCACAGGGCTAGGGACCCAGGTTCGATTCCAGCCTCGGGTGACTGTCTGTGTGGAATTTGCACATTCTCCCTGTGTCCTTCAGGGTGCTCCAGTTTTGTCCCACAGTCCAAAGACGTGCAGGCTAGGATTGGCCATGCTAAATTGCCCAGACTGTTCAGGGATGTGTAGATTAGATGAGTTACAGGGGGATGGGTCTGGGTGGGATGCTCTGAGGGTTGGTGGGGACTTGTTGGGATGAAGGGCCTGTTTCCACACTGTAGGGATTCTATGATTCCTTCTATGATCTATACCCCAACACCCAAGTAAGTATCACTTGTCATAGCATTGAAACACTCACACTCACCAGACAGTCAGTACAATGCATTAAACACCAGTGCTCACAAGGTCTTTTGTCCCATGTGTCTTCCAGGTGCACCATCTACCCTAGGCCCAGCTCATCTCCCCCAGAGGAAAGGTCTTTAGCCTCACTGTGTGTGAGTGCAGAGATATCTCACTACATCTCTTGAGAAAAATGAACAAGATGCAGTGAGGTGACCTCAACGTCGAGATGGGCTTCGCCAAACATCTCTCCTTTTTCTACTGCTCATCTCACCTTCACATCGCTCAGAGGCAGCTACTGCTAGTATTACCCAGTGTATCAAAGGACAGTCAATGGACCTGTCCAGGTTTTGCTTCATGATTGCCAAAACTCCAATGCCTATCTCCTCTCACCAGGGCTACAGGGATATGGAAAGAGGAAGTTCACTCTTGGATGGGCTGTAAAGGAGGCAAGCAGAGATGCAGAAGAAGAGGCACCCTTACTATTGTTGTCTACCTCCTACCTTTCTTTCATAATGTTGGCAGATCACACAATAAAGGGAGGTTCAATTGTGAAAAAGGGCTGTTTCCCAGAATTTAATACCAAAACTGCCAGGGCTGAATGTGCTATGAATTCAGAAGTCACGTGACACTAGGTGATAGTCCAACAGGTTTATTTGAAATCACAAGCTTTCGGAGCGCTGCTTCACTGTCTCGTGTGACTTCAGACTTTGTCCACCCCAGTCCAACACGGGCACCTCCACATCATGTGTTGTGGCAGGGCCAGCTGCAGTTGGTCATTTTTGCTGTGTACATGGATTCCCCTGAGGTAGTGCTACATGTCACAGTGCAACTGAAATAGGGGTCTTCCAAAAGTGCAACAGGAGAGTCATGCAAACTAACCACTAACGGTCATTAATAAGTCCCAGCACCAGGAAAAGGATTGGTTACCCCTCGATGCAGGACTGGGAGCAACACAAGGATTTGTTTTGTAGAGGAAAGCCAACCGCAACATGAAACAATGAAGCGTTAGTGAGCAGAGGTGAGGAATTATTTAACCTTGGTGAAAAGCAACTGGGGCAGCAAAAAGATAGGAGAACATTAATGGAAATGACTCAGACAAGATCCTAAGATGAACTGAAGGGAATTCCATGCCTTGGGAAAGAGCACAGCATGGAAACTGAAGAAAGAAACAAGATAAATCACTCCCAGATTGTGAGTTAAATTAGGGGGCTTGTGTTTTGCATTGTGTGTTATCTTACTGCCAGTACAAAAGCCACGATCATCAAAGAGACCAGACAAGCTATGCTAAACCATCAGAAACAGCCTGGGCAGGGGACACCAAACTTTTATTTCAAATGAGAAAGGACAATTCCTTTTGATGTCGTGCTGACAAGCTAATGGGGATCAATTGAGATACATGTAATTGATGTGGCAGCTTTAGGATTGTGTGGTTCACAGAGGCATCAACATACCAGACCATCACAAAACAGAAACAAAAAGGAAATCAAAGCAAAATGGAGCTGAGTGGGATATTTCAGATATTCTTATCGTTTTTTTCCCCAGGAATGAAAGTCCTTTGACATCTTTGGGAGTATTTGGGAGGGGCAGGTATCAAAAAGACACGAAAGAGATTGTCAGGTACTACAGAAGAGGCTTTCAATCCACCAAAGCCAAACTTAATGAGGTTGGTTTAACACACATAGGGAATTAAGCTCTGCTTTGATTATTTTCTTATTTCCCACAGAGTACAGAATAGCAATGTCAGTTTTAAGATGAGGTCTAACTATTTAAGCTGTAAATCTATAATCCTACAGCATTGGGTATTCTACTCACTTAATAAATGCGAGTGTGCCAATCATACTAAGGAAGCCATGGGTATTAGAGCTTATCATTCACTTGTGATAATTACTTTGTGAGAAATGCCATGGTTTCATTCCTTAAAGTTCATGCAAACCAAGGAAAGGGAAAGCTTGGAGGATATGTCCGCAGCAGCTAGTAACTGGGATCATCTGGTGGTCCAGCAAAATTGGACAGTGGACTGAAAATAGAAACAGAAGTGAAGAAATAGACTTTCTTACCGTGTTCTTGTTTCTCTGAATATTTTCCAGCTGAACGTGGAGGTTTTCCAATTCCTGCAACGTAGATTTGTAAACTTTCTCTGTCTCCGCATAGCGAGCCACGCTTTCGTCTAACTGGTGAAGGGAAAGGGGTAACGGATTTTTGAGTGTCAATCTTGTTCTTTCCATTTCAGAGCTGTTCAAATGGCACAACTGTGCACCAAAGTATCTACTGCAAGGTGCCAGGATACAAGAACGTATTCCCTGTCTCCCAGTGAAGTGAGATTCCCATTCTCAGCCAAGCCATCTGGACAAGGCTTCAGAAACAGAAACAGAAACATCTGCTTGCATACACTGAACAGAGGATTCATTTCATAATGGGTTCTGCCTCACACATTTAATATCCTGAAGAAAATCTCTACATAAATGATAGTCAAAACTTGAGAGCCAAAGGCACAGAATACCAGAACATTGTTCCAATTATAAATCCCCATCAATCAACTTTGACCTTCTACTCTCCACATGGATCTGTTCCCTGTAAAGTACTAAATGCAATCATGCAATTTACCTTGTCCCATTGAGTTGTTGATAATTTCAATCAATGATCTGCAAATCTCAAAACCCATTGTCAACAAGAATTTTAGCTTTTTTTCAAAATATTTGTTCATTTCAAACTCAAGTGCCTTGTTAAAAGTTTGTTTCACTTCAGCATAAATACCATTGTTCCCAGACATTAACGGTTCTGAAGGATCACCGGACTCAAAACATTAACTCTGCTTTCTTCCCATAGATGCTATCAGACTTGCTGAGTTTCTCCGGCAATTTCTGTCTTGGTTCCACTACTACTGTCTGGGGAAACGATCCCTTCTAACCTTCCAAGGACAGGCAATCTGAAACCCATAACTTTGATTTCTCAATCCAAGTAGCCACCTTATCACTATTAAGTTGAAAAGCCAGGAAAGAAAAACTGTGTAGATATAATTAACCTGAGACCCAGCAGGAACCATCTTAATAACCTCTATTTATGTTAGAATCTATTTTTCAGATTTCTCAATGGCACCATTATACCCAATAGTGCAGAAAGAAAGGGGTGGCTTTTCCCAGTAAACTGTCACCATTCATCATTAATACACCAGAGTGTATTTGGTAGAGACAGCACTGATGACAAGAGACAGTAGACAGACAAAGGAATTCTTTAGTCCAATGTAACACATATGGACGTTCCCTGTCCGTAGTGTCAACAGTTCCATGCTTATCCTTAATTTCTGTTTCTATCTGGAATGACCTGATGCAAGTGGAATAAAGAATCCTTGCATCATGACTTTTGTGCCTTCTGTGTGCTTAAATCTCATGTTACATTAAAATTATTTTTCAGGGGCAGTTCTAACTTTAATCAAGTTTTGCTCATCCAATTTCTAGCAAAAAGCCCAAAGACACGAGATTGGTCACGGTGTAACTTTTTGAAAGGATTGTGATTAGGAAAGATGTCATTCTCACTGATTTCATGGTTGCGAGCTTTTGGGGAGATTAGGGGGCTGGGTCCATACTGCAGCCTGTGCTACAATCCTGAGTCCAGAACCCAATGACAGGACTTTCCTTCCCTGGAGCGTGGGAGGCTAAGGGGTGACCTTTTAGAGGTTTATAAAATCATGAGGGGCACAGATAAAGTGAATACCTAAGGTCTTCATACCAGGGTAGGGGAATCCAAAGCTAGATGGCATAGGTTTAATGTAGGAGGGGAAAGACTTAAAACAGATCTGAGGGACAACTTTTCACACAGAAGATGGCAAGTATATGGAAAGAGCTGACAGAGGAAGTGGTACAGCCAAGTGCAATTGCAACATTTTAAAGACATTTGGACAGGTATACATATAGGAAAGGTTTAGAGGGATATGGGCCAAATGCAGGCAAATGGAACTAGTTCAGTTTAGGAAACCTGGTTGGCATGGACAATTTGGGGCGAAGGATCTGTTTCTGTTCTGTTTAACTCTATGACTCTATGGTTGGATTGGATTGGATAGCATATCCCACCTGATCTGTTTCTGTTTTCTTAAATTAATGGATGCGGGTGTCACTGGCAAGACCAGTGTTTGTTGTCCATCCCTGATAACCCCTGAGAAGATGGTGGTAAGCTGCCAACCTGAGCTGATGTAGTCCATTGTACCCATCATGTAAAGGTGTGGTCAATTTCAGAGGTGGGCAATATATTTCATGAAAAATACATTAGAGGGAGTGCAGTCTATATCTACTAGAATGAAATAGGGATTCCGATGGTTAAGTTATATGAGGAGATTACATAAACGAGAATTGTCTTCTCAGGAATTTAGGAGGGTGTAATTAAGGTTCATGATATATTATTATTGTTTGGGAAATTGTGTTCTAAAATGGATCAATTACTTTTTGTTTAACTTCGATTTGTACCTCTAAGCTATGAGGGATAGGATTAAGAAAGACGTGGTTTTTAGTAATATTTTAGATTTGGTCCATGAGTGGTAGTGGGGTCTCTTGGAGATTTGTTTTATTTGCATGCATTTAAATCACATCTTTAAAACTCTTGAGGTGCACAGTTCAGTGCACTAGGAGAAAAAGGACAGAAGAGAGAAAATAAAACCTGCTGTTGCCTAGTGACAGGAATCTCATCATAAAGAAAGTTCAACCATCCAGAAGAGACCAGATAGTTCGGAGGTTCTTGAACAGGAGAGCTACTGTCAGTTTATCAGTCTGCAAAAGCAGTTGGGACTAGGGAAGAGATCCAGAGTTGCTTAAAAGAAAATTCCAGAGGTAGGATTCTCCGGAAGATATGAGGTTGCTAAACCTGTGTTTAACAACGTGAGGTGAAGTAGCCGTTTATTTTAAGGGTTCCAGAAAAAAATATTAACTACAGAAAATAGTAACGATAGAATGCATAAATTTTCCAAAAAGTAACCAATTCTAAATGTGCCAAATGAAGAAGGAAGTTTAAAATGAGACAGAGCTAACTCTTCACTGCAGTAAGGTAATGATTTTGCATGTTTCTTTTTAAATTTCTGGTAAAGCCATTTTAAATAGCTCATATGTAGTAACACGGTTCATGTTTTTGTCTTTTGTGTGTAATAACATTATGTTTTCTTGCTAAAAACACATTGGTAGTCTCTTGTGCACATGTTCAAAGACTGACCACCTTGGGAAATAAACATGAAACTGATGATCAAAGTTAAGGAGTGACTTGACCAAAGATTTTAAGATATTAGGGTGAACAGATCGGATAGATACATGGAAATGTTTTTTCCACCGGTTGGCATTTAAGAAGTTAAGGCAATGACCAGTACTATCCATAACCAGCAAGTTCTCCCATGTGAGTGCAAGTGAAGGTGTAGTCACAACTCGGGACAATTGGATCTATCCTTTTCTCTGCCATGCTGGCTCTTCACTCAGTCTCAAAGGATTCTTTAGCCCTCCTGATGCAGCATCTCTAGATTTCATAATCTATCACCTGAAGGTTAATATTACACACAGTTAACAGTTGTTAATGTTAGAGATTAGAGTTTGCTAGATTTTGTTAATGAGAATTGTTGTGGCATTAGGTCACAGTTGAACCTGAATCTCATTGAATGTTGAAACAGATTTCAGGAGCCCAATGTTCCCACATTCCTGTGGGTGACAGGAAACTAACAAGTAGGCCAGTTAAATAATATCAGTCATAAATTGCACCAAGGCGAAGCGTTGATATTTGGAAATACTTATGAGAAAGAGAAAGACAAAGACAACATCATGTTTCCAATAGGATCCTACATCATACTTTTGAGAAGAGGACAAGAGTAAAAAGAGTGAAACATTTGGCCCCATCAAAAATCAATCTCTTCTTTTCAATTGCAGTATAATTCCAGCATTTTATTTCAGACTTCCAGTAATGATGGCTTTCTCTAACCAATTAGGATTAATTTAACAATGAACACATCAATGGGCCACATCATTGTGACTTATTTTGATCCATTTCTACTTCGTAACAAAAGTAACTTACACGGTATTTAATGTAACCTGAGATTGTTCCCGTACATTATTTGCCACTTTGACATCACAAGAGGAACATTTTTTTCTATCTGTTCCAAATCATTGAAAAAGCTCTACCAGCAACAACCTGTTGACAAAATATTAGGTCTACAAATATCCTCTCAGTCTTGATGGTCTAAACTGGCTCCCATCGCCCCTTGGAGCAAATTCAAAGACCATTCTGTGGCTTTAGCTTCTGTTACCTCAAGGTATCATTTTCTTAGAGTCACAGAGAGCGTCAGGTCATTCTAGCCCCAAAGGAAGCTGTTTGGGCCATCAATTTGATGCCAGCTCTCTGTGGAGCAATCCAGTCAATCCCATTCCCCAGCTCTATCTCTGTAGTCCTTCAAAGTCTTTTCCCTCAAGTGCCCATCTAATCGCACTTAAAAATGGTGTTGGGGGCCATGGCCTGAGGAGGAAATCCAGAAACCCTGGTCAGAGTTTCACCTAACGTTCCCAGTTAAGTAAACATCACTGTAAATGATTCCAGTATAATGGGGAACCATGTGTAGTCTTGTGTTGTGCAAGAAATGATCCATTCCTTCCAGTGTCTACTGGCAAAACTTCTGAAAACTTCTTTTGCATGGCATCCAACCAACAAAGGATCCATATACAATTTTGTCAGGTCTTTGGAACAACTCTTGTGATTGTTGGGGGACAGGAAAGTTATGAAAAATTCCAAATTTCGCGGCTTCTCTGGTTATCTGTCCCTTCCTACTCTACTCCACTTATTCAACAAATCAATGGCAAAGTCTTGAGCCATTTTAACGCTACACTTTCGAGCTCCTCTCGAATCCCCACTGCCTCATTACATCAGTTGCCAACAGTTCCAAAAAAATGTCAATGGCTGTAAAGTACATATAGACCTCCTGTGATCATGAAAGGTATTGAAATAAATGCAAATTTTTCCCTGCCCTGTTTTATAATGCCCCAGTGAAGTACACAGGTAACTTTATCGCATTCAAGGAGCTACGTAAATACAGGATGTAGTTGTTGTGGCCCACATTTAAAAAAAAATCTCAAAATACATTTTCAAGAGGTGATATAGTGTCTAGGCGATTAGCACTGCTGCATCACAGTGCCAGGGACCCAGGTTCAATTCCACC